TATCCCCTCCCTCTACGTAATGATTTGGATAGTCAAGCAAACATAATTCAATTTGATTTAAGTTTTACTTGCTTTGACAGTTAGAAAAAGTAAGCTACAATAAATTAGTTGATTTGAATATTTCACTTTCATGTTCAACTTGGGGCCTCTTGATTGTAACTTGCCTTGATGCTTCTAAGATGAGCAGAAATTAAAGAGAAAACCACAGATAATTTCATTCATTAAAGAAGATTGGAAGGGCTTATGTGTATGTATATATATATGTGTGTGTATATATATATATATGTATATATATAGATATAGATATATAGCTTTTCCCTGTAAAAGCTGCAAATAGCATAGCATTTGGCCACACAGTCAGCAAACAGCTATCGAATCAATTAAAACATATATTTGAAACAAAGATAGGGGTAATTGTCTTTTCTTCTTCTTTCTATTTCTTTGAGACCAGTTCTCATTGAACTCCTGGCCGTTCTCCTGCCTTCGTCTCCTGAATGCTGAGATTACAAGTGTGTGCCACCGTGCCCAGCAAAAACAGCGAGCTGAGGCTTTTCTGCCCTAGTGACAGACAGTGGTGGGACACCGAAGTTATGAGTCCCGATTTCCGTGGCTAATTTAGCATTTGATTCACCTGCCTATATCATACCTTCTGTAAACGAAAGTGTGCATGCCAACTTCACTCCCCCACCAGGGAAATAATGTATTTCTATCATTTAAAAACTATGTACTTTGTTAGAAAACGTCCTATAATTTAAAGCAGAATGTAACATGAAAAGGACCCTAGTAACACTCAGTCCTAAATGAAATGTTTCCATCTAACCCCTCTCCTCAGTGCTCAGGAAGCTGTGCAGAAGAGGAGGCAGAAAGATTGTAAGAGCCAGTGGGAGTTCAGGACACCAAGGAGACAGTGTCTTCTAAATACAAGGACTTACACACATATAAACTCACACAGACACTGTGGCAGCCTGCACAGGTCCAAACCAGGCAGGATCCCAGCGCTGAGCGGTGCATATAACCTCCCATCCCTAACCAAGAAGCTGTCTCCACTAGACAATGTGCTTGTAAAGAAGACTTAGTTTTCTCCAGTGGGGTCTCATTGGGCACACAAATCACACCTAAGGGCAGGGCCCATGCCCCGTGGTAGACAAAAGGAACTCAAAGGTACTTCTGTAGATTTTATTTTTGTCTCATATTGCTTTGTTTGGGCATTTTAAAAGATCTCAGTGGTCTTTCGCTTGTAAATTATGGTTTTTGATTTTTGTTTTTATGGGTTTTGTTTGTAGGTGTGTCTGTGTTTCTTGTGCTTTTGTTTTTCCTTTTTTTTTTTAAATTCTAGTCTGTTTATTTTATTTGCCTGTGTGTTTTCTAAAGAGAAAGAAGTCATGGCATTGGATGGGTGGGGAGGATCTAGAAGGATGTGAGAGAGGGGAAACTGTGATCAAAATATATTGTTTGGAAATATTTTCAATGAAAAAAAGTAAAGAAAAATTACTCTAGAAAGTTATTCTCCAAGGTTTTTTTTTTTAATTTATATTGTTTTTTTTTTTTTGTTTTTCTAGACAGGGTTTCTCTGTGTAGTTTTGGTGTTTGTCCTAGATCTCACTCTGTCGACCAGGCACGCCTCGAACTCACAGAGATCAGCCTTGCTCTGCCGCCCAAGTGCTGGGATTAAAGGCATGTGCCACCGCTGCCCAGCCTCTCCAAGGTTTTAAAAGAATAATTGTATTCATTTTGGTAGATGTATACTTACTTTGGTAGGTCCATGTTTCCCGGGCACTCTGCTCTGAGAGGCTCCATGGTGATCATTGTATCAGACATTTTGTTTAGTCACCACCTTACCTGTGCGAAGACGAGACTACTGACAGACCTGTCTGTCTGTCCTTCAAGACAAAACTAGGTTTCCTAGTGAAAAAGGCCATGGAAAGATTTGTTCAAATAATTCTGGTATATCCTAGATGGGATTTTTCAGACAAAACACAAATTAGAAGTCAATTAAGACAAATCCAAACAGGTCTGGTCCTTTTTTCTCTAGCCTTTTTACTCAATGAGGGGCTGTATGGAACTTTAGCATGCTGTTATCTCTACTTGGTGTGACCTTTGAAAGATGGGCATCCTCAGAAGCCATCACCTTCCCAAATGAACCTTAGAGCATCCTTCAGAAAGTGGAGGAAGTCTCTATGCTGAATAATGTTAGGGGTTGGACCAAGAGGATTTTCCATTCTACGATAGAACTAATACATGTTTTTAAACATGGTGTGTGTGTGTGTGTGTGTGTGTGTGTGTGTGTGTGTGTGTGTGTGTGTGTGCAGGGTCACACACCCACGCTCACGTGAACATGTGCACATGTTCATGCGTCATACACTTCAACAGGTGACCTGTCTTTACTTCCTTAGAGACCATGAGTGTAAACAACACTAAATAATACAGCCCACTTCAAAAACCGGACATGGCTTTGTGTGCCTGTGTTATATGGCAACATTGCAAAATAAAATGGCTTGTGTTGGTGCTTGAGATGCTAAGGATTAAACCAAGAGCCTTGCACATGCTGAACAGCCGAACATTGATCCATCTGCAGCCCTGGCCTGTTGTTCTTTGTAAGGAAATGCTCCATGTCTTCTAAAATAGTTGTCATTTTATGGAGCCACAAACAGCTGAGGTGGTTAAGGTTTTTATTTCAAAATGTAACTGGAAGCCAGGTGTGGTGGCACATGCCTTCAATCCCAGCATTTTGGAGGAAGAAGCAGGTGTTCCTCTGTGACGTTGAGGCCAGCCTGGTCTACAGAGTGAGTTCTAGGACAGCCAGGGTCATGTAGTGAGACGTTGCCTAAACAAAACAAAACAACAAAAAACATAAAATAAAATAATCTGGGTCAGGAGTCCGAGGCTGTCTGATTCTTGTGAATTTGAGGCTAGCTTGATGTACATAGAAAGTTCTGGGGCAGCTTGGGGTACATAGTAAGACTCTGTCTCCCAAAAGTATTAAAATCAGACCCATGTTTATTTACACCAGAGGGGAAACCTTTTAAAGAGCTGAGCAGCCATAGGAAAAAAAATTAGATTGGATTTGTAAAGAAAGACTCTTTAATAAAAACTGGGAACAAGTAATGTGCTTTTTCCTAAAGCCGTATCCTTACAGCAGCATCCTTGGAGTAGACACAGGCTGACAGTTTGGGAGTTAAAAGACACGAGGAGAGGATGCCACATGTGGGGGTAGTCCTGTAACACACCTGCTTCCAACCTAGCAGATCCAATGCAGCGTTCTACCGGTCTGGTGGAATAGCCATCTATCCCTTCATAGCTATTGGGAGAAACTTGCGTGACCCCAGTGCAAAAGACGTGGTGAGTCTGTTGCCCATAGGTCAACATGTTGTTGGAAATGCTCTGCTCTTAGTTTTCCTCTCGTGGTTTCTTCCGATTTGCAGAAGCAAAAAAGAAAAAAAAAGTTTATGGGACTCAATAACTGATTTGTGTAAATCTCCTTGCAGGAGGCAGGCTTTCAGATTTCAGTGTGCGATCTGCATTGCAGGGGAAAGTTATTGTATTATTAGGAAAAGCAAGGAACAGAACACCTTTCTACCCAGAAATAAACCACAAGGGGGAAAGGCCACCCGCTCTTCTCAAACCCAGGAGCTCTGTGCAAAAGGGACCCTGAAACTGGAAATCTTGGTAGCCTGGACTAGTACAGGAACTCCTAAGCCATTCAAGGTTTTGGGCTCTTGTGTGTTTGATGGGAATGATAGATCCTTACCCTAGGAAAATGGGTTGATTATCACAGTAGCCACATAGGCAGAGCTTCTGCATGGGAACTAAATGGGTGAGAGCTCAGGAGGCGGTACCAGGCCACAGCAGGAAGACTGACGCACGCCTGTACTCTTCCCCCGACATATTCCCCCAGATGTCTCCATCTGGCAAACAAGCTCTTTGGGAGCTGGCACTGGCCTACTTTATCGACCCCATCTCTTGTCCTTTCCAACATATATCCCAAACGGAAGTCACACAGAATGACCTATCAGTGTTCACAGCGTCTGAACACACATTCCTGTTTCCTGGAGGTCACTCATATGCCTCCTTACTGTCTTGCTGCGCTCACTGCAGCCCAAACGTTGGCTTTTAGAGGGTTTTCCTGCACTCTTGCTTACCACCTCCACTGTTACCATTGCACTCCCTGTACACGGGGGTCACATTTCCTTACAATAAGCTGTACCTTGGTGGGTGTCAGCTCTTCCACCTTCCTGTGCGTTTCGAAGCTCGCTTGTCTGTGAGGATGTATAAGGTGCAGGTGAATCGCTGCTAATGACGCTGATGACTTTTTTCTTCCTGGCATCAGATGTACTTTCTCGAACCACATATGTGAAGATATATTTTTTTCCTGAAGAACTCTAACACATGCAATATTAATAGAGCCATATGCCACTCCTCTCTCAGCATCAAGAATCACACTGATAACTCTGAAAATGTGTGCTTGTTTCAAAAGAATCATATGACCCTGCTAACTGTGTTCCTGGTAGGATCTTGACCTTCTGCAAACCTGAATGTATTTCTTATTGGGCAATTGTTTCTTAGTAATCCAGTTCTTTTTTTTTTTTTTTTTATGACTCGGAGGGGAAAATCCTATGTTAAGACATTTTAGATACAGATTTCAAAGTATTTTAAAAACAGTAATTGTATTTATATGTATTAAAATGAGAATTTATAATACTTAAATCCAATAGTCCAGGCATTTGTGAAAACAATGACACCATATATCCTAAACATAATGAATCAAACATAGTGTTACAAAGATAAAGTAGGATTATAGAAACACACACACACACACACACACACACACACACACACACTTTAAAGGAACATATCTTTATAAAAGGGAATGGAGTTGCAGAGTAGGAGGTCCTAGAGTCACAGAATTCTTGGGTTTTCAAGACTTCGTACTTACGTGTATTGTAAGTACTTGTGTGCTGAACTATTATCGCAACTTAAATGTCCTCTTTTTCCCTCTCTAGGCTAAATTTACAGATGACTGTAAGTTCAGGGAGAGATTTCAAGAAAACAGCTATAATACCTATGCGTCCGCCATCCACAGAACTGAAAAGACAGGGCGGGAGTGGTACGTGGCCCTGAATAAGAGAGGGAAGGCCAAGCGAGGCTGCAGCCCACGGGTCAAACCCCAGCATGTCTCCACCCACTTCCTACCCAGATTCAAGCAGTCGGAGCAACCTGAACTTTCCTTCACGGTCACTGTACCGGAAAAGAAAAAGCCACCTCGCCCGGTCAAGCCAAAGGTCCCCCTGTCCCCACCTCGCAGAAGTCCCAGCCCAGTGAAGTACAGATTGAAGTTCCGCTTTGGGTGATGCTCATCTCAGCCTTGTGGGAAACCGCTCCTCCACCTCAGGACCTTCTACAGGCATCATGGAGCCCCGAAGGAAAACCTTCGGACGCAGTGTCCCTCCATCCCTCCGCTGTGCTTACACGTGTGGAAGTCAGGTCATTGTTTCACTTTGGAACAAAACTGCTTTATTTTTTTATTTTCATTTTATTTTATTTTTTTAAATTTTAAACAGACACAGAAATGGGATTCTCTGTAGTGATCCAGGGAACACATCCCTTCAGCTCAGTAAGGTATAAAGACTTCGTGATTAGAGGATGATTAGCATTCTACATATTTAGAATGTTCCATACCCTGGACTATATGTATTTTTGTGATTTTTTTACAAATCAACCTGAAAGAACAAACATGATGCATTTTTTATTTTTGTTTTCCAAAGAATATTTTAATGCAGATAAAATATTTTATAAACTTTTGTTTTTTTAAGGTACCTCTACATTGAGCATATTTTCTTACTTTTATTATTTTAATGTGCCACAAGTAGTCCATTTATTGCTATTCATGGATTATAAACATTTTGATTGATTGTCTGGTAGCATGAGGCTCTCCTTTGCATTTTTTTTCTTTATTGCATTGTTTACTTTGTTGTAGCCATACCTCAAGCCGCGTAAATTTAGTTCTACATTTTTAAAATGTTTAAATGTGCTTCCACAGCCCCAGAGGCTCAGCTGGGACGTGTGTATTGTGTATTAAGTCACGGCATTCTGAGGAATCCTGCCACGTCAGTGGCTGGGCTCTCATGATTAGAAGGAGGACAATATGAGAACGTTCTGATGGATTTGAAGGTTGGATGTAAAGAAAAGGATGGAGGCAAAAGCACAGGAAGTGTGCAGCATCTGTGGCCATCTCATTCCGTCTCTTCTGCGTCTCCTTTTACCTGCCCCTGCCCTCATTCAAGAACAGCTGAAGGAATACATTTTATCCTGTCCATCAAGTATACACCGTGAAACTGGAGTGCTTACAAACACTTCTGACTCTAGTTATCCTTACTGTACAGACCCACAGAGTACAACTAATCAGGGTGTGCGCGTGTGTGGTGGGTGCGTGTGTGCATGTGTGTGTGTGTGTGTGTGTGTGTGTGTGTGTGTGTGTGTGTGCGTGCACGCGTGCTTGTGTGTAGATGAATCACTGGCCAGGTATTCGTGTTGAGACTCATGGTCAAAAATACTCCTATTATTCAATTAAATACCTTTGAGCTTTCTATCCTAAAGGTAAGGAGTGCAGCAAGTGAGTCTGCTCTGCTATAAGAAAATCTGATGTCATCAGACACAGGAGCTTAATCTGGGAATTTGATACGTTGAAAATGACACTTCATTCTCAACTCAAATGCCAAACACTGAACAGGAATCTCAGAAAGTTTAACTTACAAAGAGTTACAAAATTTATTTTCTTGGATAATGATTTTTATGGAGATCTATGAAATACAAGTGTTCATCTTATATTCATAAATGCTGCAATAAAAATGTGCATATGACCATTAGCTGTGTGTCTTTCATAGAGCAGACACATTCCACAAGTCTGTGCCTTATACTCCTGTATATTGGAGGAATACTGATAAACATTTTACTTAAAGCAAAGTATGGTTTACTCTGGTACACACACTAACACACATCAAAATTGAACCCAGTACCCCACATACAGGTTGCATTGTTTTAATGGGAACAAACTGTACATGTATATATTATGTGTAATATACCCAGAATGAAAACATCACACATGCAGTCTAGAAGTTTGTTATAAAGCCAATAATTTCATTAGGTACCACACTTAACACATGATTTTTTTTAAAGTAATGAATTGCTCCAAATTTTAATTAGCATATACTTTAGAAGACTCCTGATTTAAATGAGACAATGGCATTTTGCACAGAACAGGTTCTGTCAAACTCCTGTAGCGCTACTACATGGCCTTACCTACAAAGGACAATGATACAAGCCCTCTTCTAGCTTATTTAAATGTCCTGTTAAAAATTGTGAACTATTTATCCAGTTATTAGACTACACAAAGAAGCAGAGATTAGGAATCCTGTTAATAAATGGGGAAGAAGCAGATGACAGTTAACAAATTAATATATGCACCAAATCAACTAAATACCACTCACACTTTATAGCAAGAAGTGTAGCTTATCTTGCACTTTGAGTTTGATTTAATTAACATATGAAGGTTGAATTAGGAGAGTAACCAAATATATATTATATTCAAGTCAAGACTCATTAATTTCAGAATTTAGAGCCATACTGAAATTGAAAAAATAAATTAAATTACACTTATCTGAAGTTTACTGGCAATATACGGTTATATTTAATTAATGCACAGTTAAGCCGAAAGCTTCAATTAAGTGAATCATGTACAGTTGATTTGCATACATACAATTCCTTCTTATTTTTATTTTGTTTTTCAAGACTGGGTTTCTCCATGTAGCCCTGGCTGTCCTGGAACTCCCTGTGTAAATCAAGCTGGACTCTAACTCACAGAGATCCACCTGCCTCTGCCTCCCAAGTGACGCGATTAAAGGTGTGTGCCACCACAAGCTTTTTTTTTTTTCTTTCTTTTTAAATAACTAGCTCATCTCTTGTCAAACAAAGCTGCCTGGTTATGATCCTGTTCATCCAAAAGTGTCAACATTTAGGATACCAGTTTGTGCCAAACAGATAAATCATCAGGCTGATAATTCAGTTTTGTCAATTGTTTTAAGTTCCCAATATTCTTTGTGTGGAACATATACAAAGATAAAGAGAGGAGTCCAAATAAGATGATCAGCATTGTAGTTCCCCAAATCAACCTTTGCTCCCTTCTAAGGAAACTAATTGTGGATAACTGCAGATATAAATCACTTTTGTCCTTGTACCTGAATTATAGTGGCCCCCAGTATGAAGTTGTGTGATAATGATAAAAGACACTGACAAGAGTCATTTCCAAATAGCATAGTCTAGGAGTTAGAAAGTACAAATCAGAGGGGCAAATTAATTATATAAATTACCTATAAAATGTTTTAAAAGGAACTTTTAGGTAAAGCATGGCGGCTCTCAAGCTATCTTCTCTTAGTTTTAACCTAGTTGTAGAAAGTATCACTGTGTTGGAAGCAATATTTTCCTCTTATGAAGACAGAGAGAGAATTACTTCCTACTTGGAGCTCTTTTTGTTCTGTTTGAAAGTCTTGGAGACAGAAGAGACAAAAGGCAGCTAAAGCTGTCTCACACCTAACAGTCTAAGACAGTGGTCCCCACCTTCCTCATGCTGTGACCCTTTACTACAGTTCCTCATGCTGTGGTGACCCCCAACCATAAAATTATTTCCCTTGCTACTTCACAACTGTAATTTTGATACTATTATGAATCGTAATGTAAATATCTGTGTTCTCTTATGGTCTTAGGTGACTCTTGTGAAAGGGTCATTTGACCCCCCCAAAGGGGTCATGGCCCACAGGTTGAGAACCACTGATCTAAGTTGTACCAGGTCGTTCAAGTGTGCCTCAAGTCATCAAACCGCATTTACGTAGTTATAAGTTACCAGATATGGTAGTTAATAAGTCAAGGGCTCTTCAACACTTCCCAGCCTAGTACCTTCACACCACAAGTTACTCCGGCCCAGCCTGACCTCTACCATTTGGTCTTCAACACCGTCTCCAGCTTTATTACAATAAAGTGTACAAATTTCTAAATATTAACAATTCTAGTTAGCTCTGCCAGGGAACTCCTACAGCTGATAAACACCTTTGGTGAACTGGCTGGATACAAGATTAACTAAAAGAAAATCAGTAGCCCTCCTATAAACAAATGATAAATGGGCTGACAGAGGAATCAGGGAAACAACACCGTTCACAGTAGTCACAAACATAAAATATCTTGGTGTGACTCTAAGCAAGCAGGAGAAAGAACTGTGCAGCAAGGGACAAGAACAATTCTAATTAAGTTTTTAAAGGGACATGGTTCTTCTTTAGATTCAACTAATAATCAACATCTGGATGGAACATGGGAATCACATGGAAAAAAAAGTCAATGAAGTAAGAAATACATGTAATTTAAAAGACCCATTCTTATTTGAAAAAAAAATTGCTGGGGATAGAATCAGCAGAAGAATGTTTATTAGAATGCAGAAAGTTCTGTGTGTGATCCCTAGAACTAAACAACTGACCAGAAGTGATATTGGATTAATAAATAGACTTAAAACATTGAGGTCATACCTGAGTTCAGAATTTTATGGATAGGGAAAGTGTGAATTAATACAGAAGTGGCATCATTGGTCACAATAAATAGTTCTCAGACCCCACACCATCTTTTAATGTTCCTTTTGTGATGATAATTCCATAATCTGCAAGCCTTCAAGAAATCTATGAAGGACTATGAGGAACTCTTTCTTGACATCGTTCCTCTGAATAAGGACAGCTCATCACACAATACCCAATCACTGTTTTCTTACTCTCCAGTCACTCAGAAAGCTTTCTCCAAAGTTCTAACTTGTACAAGACACTCAGCTAATGAGCTATGTTTGATTTGCCCAGTACTTATGCAATATATTCTTTTTGCTCTTCTATTTTTAAATTCTAGAAAGAGCATGTCTGCACTTACTGTACTTTATAGTCTGACGTTAGGAAAATGGCTCTTATGAAATCCTCATAGCTGGTAGTGATTTTGAATATGTTTCTGTGACATACTTTGTAGAGGTCACTGGATATGTGACTTATTCACAGAGCTTAGTATACACAAGAGGTCTAGGTCCCTGGTATATTATTTAGTCTTTCAAAAAATTTTAGCATGAATTGATTGACGAGTAAGATGTACTTGAAGAAATCTATCCCAGGTAAGAGAATTTTATGTTAGGTGATAGCTCCTTTAGTATGAGTGAGAACCCTCACTCTTCTTGTCACTATACTTAGATTGTTTACACACAAATTGTAAGACCAAATTAAAAATGCCAAGCATTTATGAGCTGCTCTAGGTACCAGTACATTAATCAGCATGCGGCACTTCAGTTTCATTGACCATCATAAAGTAGGTTACTATGCAAATCTTGATTTTTTTTCCTATTTGTAAGGCAAACAAGCTGCCTAGTGAGATGTCGGTAGGTATCAGTGGGGGAGTGAGGACATTTCTCTTTTGGTAATTTATTTCTAGATGTGTTTTTCTCCTTTCTCAGATAAACTCTCTCAGAGAAGACTGAGTTTTTCTGTACCCTACAGTGAGATTAGTGAATGCATAATCACACAGTGACAGGTCCCGTTCCAATGTGTTTCTCATTAAATTCTCTGTCATTCCCTCTGTGGGAAACTGGGAAATTTATCAGATTTTCATACAGGGAGGTGAATTTCTGCTGAGGAGGCAACACCACTTCTTTGACTCTCCAGAGAGCAATTATGGCTGGGCATCCACCAGCAGCAGTTCAGTATTTTATGGCCGGCTTTCTGTAGAATGTGTGCACTCCACACTCTGACACATGCTATATATTCACATTTTTTTTTTAAAGTTTGCTTGTTGTCCTACAGCTACCTCCACAAAGGGCCCCCGAGAGAAAGTGTACCTGCAGACTAGATTAATAAATGTATAAAAACATGCTACTTCTACAACACTCCCTAGTCCCACAGAGTATCTGAG